TTTGTTAAAAAATCCCTGTGTTTTGGTAAAAGCAATCAGAAGTTCAAATGAAAACTGCCTAAAATTGGTGATTTCATTTTTGAATTCTGCTTTGCTGACTGACAGCAGTAAAAGCTGTAGTGAGGAAAAAAATGGAAGCAAGAGAAATTGTAAAGAAAATATTAAATATTGCCTCTCCAGTGCCTTCAAAAGACAGGAAAATTGAGGAAAATTCCACCACGTCCACAAAAAATGACCACATACGCTGCCACTATTCCCACTAGACACTATTTAAGGGTCTGCAAAACAAACAAAAAAAGGTTGGAAAGCTGCTGGTTTGTGAGCCTGGACGTGGGGTGTCCGTGCTCAGCAGCCCCATTTCTTCCACACTGACCCATACATCATGGTCATGTACAGTGCTGGAAAACACAACCTGTGGGGACAGTGTTGAAAGAACCAGCACCGTTGTTTTCCTAGCAAAGGAGACTGAGGGAAGCTTAAAAAAGAAATAGGGGGAGAAGAGGAACAGCATTGTCTTTGTCCCATGCACAATAGACGAAGAAAAATGCTCTGACAGTGAATGGATATTCGAGAGAAGGAAGGGCAGTCAGTCGCGGCACTGCCAGGCAGTCTCTGCCACAGGGGCTTGGGAAGAGGGCACTCACAGGCAGTCGGGTCGTGTCCCTCGGGGCGAAAAGCCTGGCCCTCGCAGAGCTGCGGCGACCGCAGGTGGCGGTGCCGGCGCCGAGCCTGGCACTCGCAAAGCTGCGGCGACCGCAGGTGCCGGTGCCGGCGCCGGCGCTGGGCTGTCACTCACGTGTGAGACGCCTGAGCGCAAAGGCAGGGACACCTCGTCGCCCCACGAGGGGACCAGGGGTCCCCACGGTGACTCAAACCGATGGAAAAACAGAGTGGGAGGGAGGGATTGGCTCGCCGGAGCGGGTGATGCCCTGACTCAGACATCAGAGCAAGGTGGAGCTTCGGAGAAGGGAAAACCCCACTGTGTGCATACACACCTCCCAAGAAATAAAATGCTAAAAAAGACATATCTGGCTGATAGGATGTGGATGCTGCTCTCCGTGAGTAAACCGTGGTTGCATTTTATCTAGTCCTTTAAAGTGAGGAGGTTTGCCCTTTGAGGGGTGATGCTGCCGCAAAGGGAGCTGCACATGCAGAGCTGGGGCGATGCATTTCCCACCTGGCTTATTTTGCTTTATCAACAGAAGGAAAACGTTTTCTCAAAAGCAAAGCCTGGTTGACAAAATAATAACTTTAAGAGGCACCTGTGGCAGGCTAATGTGCAATGGGTAGCTCCCCATCCCTGGCAGCCTCCTCCTCCTCTTCGTCTCTTCGCTCACAGGGGCCAGGCTGGGATGACGGGGACAGAAAAGAGCTCTTGGCACCTTACCTTTGACAACCCAGGGCACACCACTGCAGCAAGTATTTGCCTATCATGGGGACCATTGCTAAGTCTTATCTGGCTTTAGTTCTCCTTGACGTCTCTTTTTGCTTTCTCTTTTTTTTCTTTTTTTTTTCCTTTTTTTTTTTTCTTTCCTTTTTCTCTTTTTTTTTTCTTCCTTATTTTGCTTTAGGATGACCTGCGTAAACCTAACTGCTGATTCCCAAGCAGCTGGTCCCCAGGGAGATGGAGGAGCAGTGGAGAGCGCGAGATAGGCTGTGCCCTGGGCGGGGCGAGGGGCAGGCAGGGAGCAGCTCTGCCCGACTGCCGGTGCCCAGCACAAGGCCAGACTTCGCCCATCCAAGGCTGGCACCAAGGGGGGTGTTCAGCCTTGGAAGCGGAGGGGAACATCTTTTGGGATAAATGTGGAAAATCTGGAAAAAAGCTAAGAACTGCAATTTTAGGAAGGGGATTAAATTGCAAAGAGAGGCACAAGCACCTGGGACTGCTGTCTTCATTGCCAGTTTGCACAGGTAACTGTGGCAAAAGGACACGGCTCTGTCAACGGGCATGAGTTTGTCCTGCAGCGCCAGGGTCATGCCGAGCGTCTGATAAGGCCCAAGCAGTAAATGATGTGATTAATAAACAACTGCAGAGACAGTGAGCAGCACATCCAGGCCAGTTCCTGGGAAAATGACTAAGCACCCTGCCACGCACTGGCCGCCTTTCCCCTCTCCTTCCCTGACCCGGCATTGGAGGGGTGGCTGAGCCCCACGTCTGGTCAGATGTTCCTGTGTTTCTGGCACCTTTTCCCTGCTCAGCCCCTTCAGTGGAAACCCCTGCCTCTAACCCAGCCCCGAGCTTCGCCAGGGAGACTGGAGATGTAGATGCAGGATGCTTCCCTCTTCGGAAGTTTCTCAGACGATCTTTAAAAGGATGCAGAAAGGACTTTTTTTTTTTTTTTCTTTAAAGGACTCAAACCCCAGAGCATCTTTGCTATTCCCCCCTGCTTGGTCAGCACCATGCAGCTGTGCCACTCGTGCTCAGTCTGTGCCGCAGCAGGGTGATGCTGCCAGCTCCAAATTCCCGCGCGGTGATACACACAGTTGGAAACAGGCATTTTGGGAGCTGCCGTTTGTTGCTCTTCCTTTTCCACAACAACAACAGAGGTATTTCCTACCCGCTCCCCCCCTACCCTGCGTTTCAAAGAGCAGCTTTTGTTCTGGAGAAGTATCGCCTTGTACCAAAACGTCTGTTATTCTGCAGTAAATTATCTTAAAATAGAGACCTCTCCTGCCAGATGTTTGTCTTGGAGCTGCTCTCCAAACCCTGCGACAGAAAGGGAGGGATGGGAAAGGCGAGGCACATGTGACAAAGCAGAGGCTGATGCCGTTTCTGGATCAGCGTTGTCCCCCGTCACCGGCAGCACAGCAGGACTCCAGGACTTGGGGTACAGCCGGCCGGATCTCCCTACCCTGCGCCAGGTCAGGACAGGTCACTACCGTTTGGGAAACCCCCCCAAGCACATAAAACGTGACTCTTTCCTCTCCAGCAGCCAGCAGCTGAGACGCAACCCGAGCACAGGCTGTGTCTGGCCACTGCCGCAGGGCTGCTGCAGCGAGCAGCCAGCAAGACCTTCCGCCTCCACGGATTTTAGTTTTTACTCTTTTTCAAACTCTGCACATTTCCCCTTTACAGCCCATGACATCAAATTCCATTTACTTTCATTTTAAAGCCAAATCGTGATCATATACTTTACCCTGCTTTTTCCCAACCATGCACAGGTTTCTCTCTCCCCACGGGGCTCCCTAAGCCAAACGAAACTGCGCTTCTCCTGGAAGGAGAGCCATGCATGTCTCCAGCTCTTCTGCAAGCTGCCCATGTCTTCTACAGACAGTTTTTCTGAAGTGTGATATGAACAGGGGCAGAGCACAGGTGCACATGTTACATGCTGGCACCACCATGTATCCATGTATTTTTCTAACAAGTTTCGGTATTTGTTTTTGACCAATACTCCATGTCTACAAGGAGCAGGAGATCTCTCACCTAAGTGATCAAGGTATCCCTTTCAGCATGCAGAAGACGGTGGGGGGTCTCCCTGGCAGTTATTTTGACATGCCATAATCCAGTACCAGCTATTCTTTTTTTCACTCGAGCCTGCAGCTGCTCATGGTCAGCTGTAGGTGGGACAAGCCTCGGGAACGTGTTTTAGCTCCCAGGGAGATGGGAGCACCCTGGGCACAGTAAAAATGCAGCAGAAACCTCCTGATCTCCACTGCTTTTGCCACATCAGGTCCTTTTAACTCATGGGCATTCAGACGAGCCTGCGCCGCTGAGGAGGTTTGTGCTTCTCCCGCTGCCGGCACGTGGCGAGCCGTGGGGCACCCCTCTGCACGGTGGGTGTCTCTTCATCCCCCGATGGCTCACTGATTCGCTTCGAACAAGGAGTTAAGGAAGAAAAATCTCCAAACTATGAAATTCTGGACCATTTCCCTAGTGTCTCGACAGCACTCTGTTTGCCTGCTTAAATTACAGTTTGGCAATCAAGGTTGCATAAGTGTTGGGCCAGTGCCTAGAAAACATTTTATTTTAAGAGGACTGTGACCCACCAAGGTCTCTTGCACATCCCTTTTCTCATTTTTCAGCAAAAAAACAAATAGTCATTTATAATACCACAGTAGGAAGCATTTGCTCTTTTTTTTCCTAATCTTTTAATCTGTTTTAGCCAGGAAAGCTTCGTAATGTACAATTTTAAACTGTCAAAATTTACAGAACAAAAAGAGTCAGATTTAAAACTGGTCATAACTCACAAATATCTCCACCAAAACTGTATAATATAGACATTAAGCCTCCCATATAACAAATTTAAACCACAGGTCACTTTGCTATTTTTAGGAAAGTGTGCAAAGAGCTAATTGTATAATACACCTAAATGTTAAAAGTTATACCATGTAAGCAGAACTGCTGCTGCTATAAAAAATATACAAGTATAAAATTACTTCTACAAAATTGGTTCATTGATTTTGTTGCCTGTAATAAAAAAGTAGACTTTAAGAACTTCCCTCCTAAACAAACAACAATATTTTGAAACCAGTCACTGTAGCTGTTATTTACACAGGATGAAACATAATTTAGCTAAATCAGACAGCGGTAAGGAGAACCGCTTGTTCTGGGACACACATTTGAATGCATAGACACACTGCCTGATGGTGTTCTTGTTGAACAGCACAATCATTGTACCACTGCAGGGTGGGATGAATGCAGGTGTTTCAAGACTGCTTTCTCTGATATTACAAAAGATAACCTAAGGACCACGACACAGTCATTGAGCTACTCATAACATCACACATTTCTTTGCCGTTTGCACCGATGCACAACCTTTAGCGTTCACTAAACACTTAACGGGTAGAGGGGACGGTTCCTACACAAAATACTCAGTTTGGTTTGGTCAGCAGAGGAAAGGAGAGGAAAAAATGTTCTTTTTTCTTTTTGGGTTTCCCTTTGGCTCTGTCACCTTCCCAGATGGCGAACATGGCCGGCCATGAAGGGCTATGGCAGCCAGCTCGGCTCAGCCACACACGCAAGCGCATGACGGGTCCTCGGCGCTGGGATTTCTCTCTTGTCACTTGGTCCCACACGTGTTGATGTTCTTCCCATCGGCGGCATCCTCCACCAGCGAGATGTGGTAATCGGTTGAAAGCGTGAGGTGGGAGATGCAGCCCACCAGGCCCCGCATGTACTGCCTGTTCGTGTGCAGGGCTATCTCCCTCATGCCACCTGCGGGAAAGGCAGCGATGAGAAACTCTTCACCGACACGGGTGTCTGCTTCTGCTTGGCAGACTGCATGCCCAGCAACGCCATTAGCCTTCCTAGTGCACCTTTTTATTTACAGTTTGGTCTGTGTTTTTTTAAATACAGCTTTTAAGCACTTGAAAGTACAGAGGGGATAAGCAGGAGATAATAAACTAGGATGCTAATAATTTATTGCAGCAATTGTGGCCTCAGTAAGAGCTGATTGTGCCCAGATTCCCAGTAAGGTGCAGGGTTTGCAGCTGCCACTCGCTGTTTCTCTATGTACCTGCTGGGGGTACCACAGTGCACCCCGCGGTGCTGGTCCCTACCGGTCCCCCCATCCCACGCAGAGAGGCCTCCCCACAAAAACCAGGCTGTAGAGGACCAGAAGCTGCCACGTGAAGCCTTCACTTTGAGATGGATGGAGCTGGGATGCCCTGCCTCGCAGCTGACCTCGCAAACACAAAAATGCACCTGGGTCCTGAATGTGAACGGTGGGCACTCACCTACATAGAGATCTCCATTGATGTTTAACTGTCTCATCTTTCCAGGGGATTTACCGGTCCTGGCACCGTAATCGTCCACGGTTACTTTGCCAGACTGTCCATCCCTGAAAGGAAAAACAAACCACTCTCATGCATCCAGCCTACAACCGGGCGGGAGGAGGAGCAGCAGCATCTCCCCCTTGCCAGGAGACCGGGGCGACTCAGTGCTCGGCAAGGTTCACGGCGAAGGCTTGGGACCGATGCTGGGGAGCCCCACAGACAGCAGCGTCCTATGGCAATCCAGACCCTTCAGGGTGGTTTTTCTCCACGGACTAAGATGTCAGAGACCTGCAAAGGGTGGGGTACACATTTGCGGAGGAGAAAAAACTGGGAAAGAAGTAAATTGCACAGCTGGGGGAGAGGGCAGGAGGGACAGGTTCTGATGTGTTGTTAAAAATCAGATGTAATATAAAAAGTAAAGAGCGGAAGCTTCAACAGAAGGGAAGAAATAGGCAAGCTAAGGTAAAACATACTTATAAGCAGTTTTGTTTCTTACTAGAGCTTTTAGGCCACTTCCATTTTATATACGGTCAATAACCACATTGACAGAAGAGCCACTTGATGGGCTCCTATTCTCACCGAATTTGGTGACAAGTTGTGCTAACGTTAGCCTGCAATTTCCAGGGAACCGACATCTCACGAAGAGAGGGATGCATGCTTTCCCTGCTGGGCACACTTGCCTCCCATGAGGTAGTGAATTATAAATATGAGTTATATATACACTGCAAGATGTCTGCACCTCCTCCAAATAGAAAAAGTAGGCATACACTGTCCGTGCTCCAGTGCTTGTGCCAGCCCGCAAAATGCTCACTAGGGAATTTCAAAATGTAGACATTAAAGAAAAATACTCTTAACCCAAATGGTATGGGTTTAAGAAAATGACTGTTATAGCCCCAGAATAGCCCTGTGTGACTTTGGCAGCCTGCCTTGAGCTGTGCTGAGTTTCAGAGTTGGCGCTGTCACCTCTAATACAATAATCTTTGTGTACATCGTCCTGAAACAGCCAAGTTGCTAACAGTTCAAGAGAGCATGGAGCCACAGTGATTCACACCCGACCAGCATTCAGACATGCCAGACAGCACCTTTAATGGCAGGGCGGCTCCAAAACGCCTCCCAGATGAAGCATGGCCACTTACCGAACAGCCTTGACTCTGTGCCATCGTCCGTCGCTGAAAGAGCCATTCACGGTGATGGAAGCAATGCCGCTGCCCAAATTGTAGCTACAATTGAAAAAAAAAAAAAATGCTATTGCCTCCCTTGCAAAGATTGTCTGCCTGCCAAAATGCTCAGATGTCCTTATTCTGTGCCCCATTCACCTGCTCATCCCCAAGAGCAACCCTTACGGCTCAGACTTTGGAGGGACTGGTAGAGTCCTTTGGAAGCCCAGCAGTGATACACTTATTTTGCAAAGTCAGGCTCACGAAGGAACAGGCAAAACTCCCTCCCACCCAGGTCAGAATGGGTACCATCACCACCATCCCATGGGAGCAAAGAGGGGACTTCTGCATGGCAGTTCCTCCCTGAAACAGGAGGTTATGAAGGTCAGTGACCTACAGACCTTTGGCCTAATGGGAGAGAGCAGTGGGAGGTTGCAAACACAGTTAATAAATAAACTATTACAAGAGCAAATAAGCATGTGACCTATAATAGATCTACAAATCATCTGAATTATAGGGAAGGTTGAGACCTGTGATGTTAGAAAGGATGAAGCCTAATAAATAAATGCAGAGACAATCATGAAGTTCCCTGCTTCAGTTGCAACTCTGATGATTTCCTTGTGTTTGCGGCTACTAAAATTACTCAGCAGATGTAACATCCCCATTATGTTTACACTTCAGACGTCTTAATTTCTGGGTCCCAGAAACCTGGGCCAACCTTCAGGAAGGGGAGGTAGATGCTACAACACAATGAGCTATTGGGTGCTCAGCTGCCTAAATAAACAGGATGAATTAGCCTGAGCTGCTGCTGCTGGCCTTCTGCCTCTACCAAGCTTGAGAGTTTAAACCAACATCATTATCTCTTCAGAAAAGACTGAACCGGGAATTAAGTTCATGCCCAGGGTTAGATACTTGAGGACAGCATGTTAAGTTGTCAGCTGCCCAGAGCAGAATGGTTGTCCTAAATTTGACTCCTCCCCAGAGGCTTAAGTGAGTCTCAAACGAGCATCTCCTTTCACCCAGGATGCAGATACTAGCCTAGGTTGAGAGCTACAGAAGGATCTGGGGGTTCAGTATTGTATCCAAGTGCTAGACCTTTGATTACAAAAATGAGAATCATATCCCTAATGAATGGGGATCCCCTACAATAGTGACATAACCTTCTACAGAAGGAGGGAGCAACAGAAAGGATTTACAGCAGCAGCTACACTGTACAGAGAACCTATTCTGCTAGGCCGTAGGAAATGGGAAAGAAAAGGTGTGGTTTGAATTTCAAACTGGACCAGAACACAGATGTCTAATTTTGGGCTGCAGGAAAATACTTCTGATCAATTTACAGCCCTGGATATTCTCCTGACCTCACCCGTCAAAAGTTCACTCTTTGTGAAAGAAGATGATACCTTTTTTTCTGCATTTGTTCTTTCACCATCTTCTTCAGTGCTCCCTTTCAGTACGCAGTAAATATTTATGAGAGTTTTGTTTTGGGATCTTAAATTTTACACCTTCCTAAATGCATGCAGAAGGCACAGATATCTCAATAAAATTCAGCTGCTTCAGTCTAAAACCTTGTGTATCTTCATCTTTTGGGGTTAGCAACAACCCTAATAAAAATGCACTGTGCCTAGAAAACAGACAGAATAGACTGGCCACTTACTACCCAGCATCTTGGAAAGACAGGATCTCACAAAGACGTTTTAAAAATGCACCATTTCTGCAGACTCAGTGAGCAAGCTAAGAGATTTTGCAAAGTTAACCACAGAAAACCACATTAAAAAAAGCTTTAAAGAAATTAACACAAATAGAAATGTGCAACTTTGTCTACCTGTCCGTGGTAGCAAAAAACAACAGGTAGAAGATAGCTTCAAGTTAGTTTAAATGATTAACAAAATCTTTGTCATTTGATCAACAGTGTCTCACAACAGTCCATAATAATGATGGCATTTGTAGTTTGCTGTTTCAATATTTGTCTTACACAACCTAAGAGGATATAATGAGGAAAGATATGGCTTTCAAAAGGCAAGAGTCTCAAAAACCACCATGCAAAAAGTTGCACAGAGTCTGCCTAAGTATCTGCAAGGGAGAAAGCGATTCCGGAGAGAGAGAACGTGAGTTCAGCCATTTCCCAACACTCCCCAGTTTCAGCTTTTTGACACTAATATTATTTGTTTCTTAAACAGGTGGTTCTGAGGATGTTGGCAGTAGCAATGCCTGGTGCCAGCTGGGTTTGTGTCACAGGGTTGGATATCTGGGGATTTGAGAAGGTGGGAGCCCTGCTCCCATGTGCACTCTCTGGTGAAGAGTGAGCCTGCAGTCAGCATGGGCGTCAGCAGGGTTTCCTTCCTTGACCCCTGCTCTCTCCTCACACCCTACACCTGCTCTGCTTAACGGAGATGGCAAGGGCTTCGAGACGCATGGGGGGAGTTACTGACAGTACGTGTACCCTCATGGGGTGACTTTTAGAAAACCACGCTAAAAATCCGATGTTTTAAGATTTGGGAGGGACGGAGGGAGTAGGAATGATGCAAAGCTGGCAGCACATTACCTCTTCAACTCATATCCTTTCCCAGACAACAACAGGACCCATCACTGAACAAAACCTTGAGGATGTAATTGTCTCACACTATACCAAAGGACAAGTGCACTGGATGTGTTGTGGAGATTCCTTCGGGCACTGACTGTACTGCATGGAACAAAAATAAGGGAGTGATAGATTACCTGAATATTAGTGCTCCTTCTTGAAGGCCTAGAGAAATGAAATCACTGTTAGGTCGCATGGGACTGTCTCCCCTCCACATCAAAAGACCTTCCTTCATTGTGGTTTTAAACCTCATGAACACATTCGTACTTGATCCTGATACCCTGTTTAATGTAGAAGAAGGAAATAGTAATAAAATACCGAACTGGGACAGTATTCTTTCAAACAAACCTAAAAGATGATGGCACTATTTCTTCTCCACTGGTCTTGCTGCTTACTGTCTTGCAACTTGCCTACATGCTGATGTGTGAGGAACTCTGATTCACATCCCCATTTCCAGCATTTCGGAGTGGGGGAATTGAACCTCGTCCTCCGGAATCCCAAACACAGTAACTGCTGGGTTACTCCACACAAATAAGAGAAAATGCTTTTCTTCCCCAAGCCTAGTGTGAAATCCAGTCCAACAAGCAAATGCTGAGAATGTGGAGTAGGTCTGCTGCCCTCAGAAGCCAGTGGAAGAAGCATAAGAAAGGGCCAATCAGAAAGGTTAGAGGTACCGAGCTGCAGGTGAGGACATTTGTGAAGCCTCCCCTAGCCAGTGACTGAAATACAGGAGACAGATGGATTTGTTTTAACAACCCAAAATTTTCTGGAATTTCGGCATCTGCTAGGGTGCAGAGCAACCAAAAAGAAGTTTGAAGACCTAAATTCTAGGCTAAAGCAGGAGTTAAAATCCTTAGTCTCTTCACTGATACCAGCTCTGTATGTCTGTTCTTTGCTCTCAGAAAGCACACACCAGTCCTTCATGTCAGATGACGTATGCTGTGCATACTGCTTCTTTAAAGGTTGCAAGATGCTTAGCTATTATAACAAACTGAGCCATAAGCATATACATAGAAAATTTTTTTCCCCTGAAATTTAGAAATATGGCAAATACAGTTTAAAACATTTAAATATACAACATCCTCCCACATGAGGCTCCTAGCATTATAATGTTCAACAAACATTATATTTATGTTCACAGGAGATACGTTACCTTTTCAGGATATCTGGATTATCATATGTGAGGTAACTGCGACCAATAAACTGTGGGATTTCAATTGCTTCTGTAATGGCTGAAAAGTAAATAAAATAATGAAGATGAGTGTCGTTTAGCTGACATGGAAATGGAAGAAAAAAACAGACAAGACTCTCTTACTGATTTACTCCTGCATTGGCAGGTACCTGCTGGTGGCACAGAACTGAGCTGAACTCACAGTCAGTTGATACCTAAATGTAGGGGCAGTAGTTGAGACAATTTAAACAGCCGACAGTCCCTCTACTCATGGCCTTCATGTCATGGGCCTAATGTATTGCTCCACCATCAATGTTAGCACAGGAAAATACGAAGTATTGGGAAAACATTGCAAATTTTATTTTTATCCCTGTTTCCACATTCCTTGACTCTCCGTGCAGTTCAAGCCACGCTCCTGCCAAACCACCCTTTGTTCTTAGTCTAGGAAACTCATCCCCAGCTCCTAACGGAGCACCGTGTGCACCCCTGCAAAGTGAGGCTGTGGGGCAGCACAGGTAACCTGTCAGCTCCCCATCTTCTCCTTTCATGTATGTGACTTTGCACGGAGCGGCTGCTGCCACACAGGGCTTACCCCTGGGGAGCAGCGCGGGAGTCCTCTGGGGAGGACATACAGGGTGCCCCTAATCACGTTAGGTCTATTGAAGGCGACTGAGACTATGTGAAAGGCTGTATGACAGAGGCTGCAAAGCCTCTTGGCACATGCATTCGACAAGCTGCAGTGCTGCCTTGGAGGGTGTTTTGCTCAGAGCTCACTGATGTCCCACGCACAGCAGCTCCCATTTCTCTAGGGACAGCCCCTAGTACAGCTGTGGTGCACAGATGCTGGGACAGCAGCACGCATTGCAACCAGACCTGGAGCTGGTGTACTCAGTATGTCCATGGCTCCCTGTCTCCCTTGTAGTGAGGAGCCCAGACCTAGGCACAGCACTCCAGATGTGTCTCACCAGTGCTGAGTAGAGGGGAGAAGAATCCCCTCTGTTCTGAAGAAGACTTCCGCAAAATAACTCAGATGTGTGGTATAAATCATTGAACATCCCTGATACACAGCCTTCGGTAGGCTATGAGCACAGGCCTAAACAGATTTTCTTTCGAGTGATCATTCTACAGGTTGCTACTGATCTCTCATCACTGACTGCTGCATTAATATAAGCCAGTTTTATAAATTCCTTAAAATAGCTACTTCATCCTGTTTGCTTCTTGAGAAGGAATCCCTTCAACCCACAGCTAATCCCATCTATATAAATTTCAAGCTTTTCAGAGCATGGAAGCTTGCTTTCTTTGTGCAACACAGAGGCTGGCTGGGCTTTAAGAGCTCACTGTAACACAGATATGCAACAATCGGTGTAGTCTGGCAGCCAACAACAGCAATATGAAATTTAGCTCTAAGTGCCAAGACCGAGAATTTTAGATAGTGACAAACGCCTGTTTTCATCCATAGTGGAATCAGGAAAGCTGCCTAATGTGTCTAAAGAAACCACTACAGGCGGTCCACAGCTTCAGCCTGCCAGCGTCGTTGGAAGATTGCAAAAGACGTGTTACACTGGGCCAGACATTCCTCGCCAGGTCTGACACTTTCTGCGCTGGACAGTCTCTGACCATGGCGGATGGCAGCAGAGCGTGAAAGGAGCCCTTCTTCCCCCGTCACGTCCTGCACCGGCACTAGAGCCCCGCTGCTCTTGCTTTTCGCAGGGGAAGGTGCCTGTGCCGTGCAGCAGCCCTTGGCCTTGCTCTAGCACTCCGATTTCCTCTATGGAGCTTGATAGGCATTTATCTTTGCTTGCTCTTCTGTATGCTCTTCACCTGCTGCACTGAATTTGACCACAGAAAACCAAGTAAATTTTAGCAGTACCATTGATGCATGCAGGATCTTTGGAACTGTAAGGGAACAGGGCCAGTAAGGAGATCTAGGACTAAACACCTTCATTCTCTGCTCATCATGATTCGACAGAAAGGCACTAAAGCTCTCATGACAAGCAGGAGTGAGCTCTGAACTGCAGTACTGAGGGCAGCGTAGCACCTACCCCTGCAAAGCACTCAGCCAGTTGCCTGGCCCCGCTGCTTTGCAAATACGGGGACCGGCTCCACAGCCACTGCTCTGCACTTGGCAGGTGCTCTGGATGCAGTTTAAAATATCAACAGGATGAGGTTTAAGAAAATACTATATAACCCCAGAAAATATTTTGGCTTATTGACAGAAGCTGCCAGGCTTAATGGAAATCCAGCATCCAGCTTGCTAGAGCAGACACAGATGCACAGTGACAGAGCAGTTTTCACATCATTTGCAGTACTTACTGTTTAGGCAGTAACTTCCACACTCTGCAGTGAGTCAGCACAAAACAAAACAAGAACATTCTCATTTTATTTTTCTATAGCATAAAAATCTCCCTTTGTCCAGTTTCATGCCCACCTTTCTGCAAATGCGTGATCCCCGCTTCCCATTTGCATAAGTAACTATAATCACCTATGAAGGTAACACTCTTTTATTATTGTTTTGCCCGAAGTATTTATATTTGCCTGCTCAAAACACACAGAGGTGCAGACAGGTAGGACCAGCACCAAACCCCTCTGCTAGTCCTAGTTTTCATATCCCAGTGACTCACCATGGTTTACCCAGGGATCAGCTCCAACCAGGGGAAAGCAGCTGTTCACTGTTCTACTCCATCTTACAATTAAGTATAAAAATACCTTTAACACTCCTCACAGCTTGGACAGAAGATATAAAACCCAGCAATGCTAGCAGAAACTCTATTGAGTCCTTGGCCAACGATCCATTATGATATGAATCAATATCTCATATACCTCATGCCAGCATCATTTAAGTTGAGTTTTGTAAGTGGCATGTGTAATTTTGGAGAATGAGGCACAGTCCCTCACAAGCACTTTGTTTTTTCAGGGCGTGGGGTTACAGTAGGATGGAGACTGCACCTTCAGCCTCTCACATACCAGCTGAGTGCACTAACCAAAACCCTGTTCTGAAATAGAAGCGGACACACACATGCATCCTGCCTTAGCTGCATCTACAACCTACCAAAGAGACACAGGTGAGGATTAATTTGAGAAATCTGCTCCAGGTTCATCAAGGCTGTCATGGACTGAGGTTCAGGAAGGACCTCCATGCTCTCTGCACGTCCATCTGCAAAAACTTGGATTTTCGGTGGCAGCTGAGGCTGCACAAGTGCAGGGGGGTTGAGAGGCACCTGAACAACAGCCACAGGCAGCAGAAACAGAAGACAGGTGACTCGTGCTTTTGGACACTCTTAAAAATGAATTAAGGTTGGATTCACATAGGAAGTAATGCCCAGGATCCAGTCTAAGCCAAAGGTGCAAGGTGCTTCAGACTGCCTCTGAAAGCCTGGACACCCATTCAGGTTATGACAGGGAGGAGAGCAGCGGCACGCCAGCTGAGCGGCATGCTGCCGGTGCCACCAGGCAGGTGCAGCCGCGGGCAGCTCGGCACCCTGCTCTCAGGGCTTAGCACAGGTCAGAAGCAAACGAGCGGTGAGGAGCCGTAGCCCAAGCAATGCACAGGAGCTCACTGAACGGGCGGGCAGGCAGTCACACACCCAAGCTGCAAAGCATTCACTTGCCTTGACTCCCCCTGGAGACCTCGGTATTGCTGCAGACACCATCTTGAAGTCAGGAGCTTAGCACCCTGCACATACCTAGAAAGCCAAAATGGCAATTCTCCCTCCTCCCCACAGAGAAGCCGGGATAAATGACGTTGCTCCAGCTATTAGTTAGACCACAACAACGTAAGCGAATTGGCTTCTTGCATTGTATTTTAATAAAATGGCTTTGTTCTAAGATACTGTCTTTTCTGGAAGAAAAGGCCAATCTATTCATCACAATTCAACCAAAACCACTGCTTTTAACTTTGAAGTTTGTGCCTGGGAGAAATGAAGGAGTGGGTGAAGACAATAATGTCAGTCAGCTCTTCTGAAGTGAGTTCACTGTTACATTACAAAACCTTCCCTTAGGAATTTTTCAAGATCAAGCCTGACAGAAGGGAAACATCTCCATCTAGTGGAATAACCCAAAGCACATTTTTTTTAACACGCAATCTGAACACTTTCCTGAATCTAAGGTTGAACTATTACAGTGGCTCTGAGGAAAGAAGAATAATGTGCATCTGGGCAGGTTTTCCTCCTTTGTGGTCTCCATTGCCGTACCAAGGTAGGGTTTGTGCAGATGGTGAAATTACCATCAGAGTAGACAGTGTCTAAAAAAGAACTAGACCATTCTGTGTATGGGAACAGCGTTTGTGAGCCCTAGGGAAGATAAAATTACAAGGATTATCAATGCTTATGCTTCAGGATGTAACATAATCACTGGCTGGAGGACGTTGGCAGGAATTCCCCCTTTGAATAGCACTGAATAATTAGGGAGGTGTATGAAGGAAGTCAGGCAAAACCACCAGGAGGCCTGCATGGTTGCACAGGGAGCTCGTGGACACACTTAAACATAAAAAGGAAGCCTACAGAGGGTGGAAGCAAGGATAGGTAGCCTGGGAGGAATACAGAGAAATTGTCCGAGCAGACAGGGATCAGGTTAGGAAAGCTAAAGCCCTGATGGAATTAAATCTGGCCAGGGACATCAAGGGCAACAAGAAGAGATTCTATCGGTACGTCGGGGACAAAAGGAAGACTAGG